TTGATGTTAATTCTGTATACAAAAACCGTTGTATTTATATGATTATCGTTGACTGTGATATTCTAGAAGCTTGAAGAAAGAATATCAATGAATGCCAATGATAAATTTCTGATTTGATCATGTGGATTTAGCAAGCCTATAATTTGCCATTTACGGATTGATTGTGTAATTTTTCTAGGAATTTTGACTTGTCAGTTTATTTTTGGTATATTTCCTGGCTGTTTAGATATCTTGAAAGAGTTTTAGGTGACTCGTCACAGTCACATATTCAATATACATAGTATGCAGAAACAATGGCAAGTGGTCTGAAAGTGATGATAACGTTTTCATCGAAGAACTAAAGATCATTTACCACTAAAGTGGTTAGAAAAGTTGTTTTTATCCTAGTCGGTAACTATCACTGTACGAAAGTGTAAAATAAATATATCCGTTAGAGAATAAACTTTTAAACTCCTTATCATCAAACAGTCAATCAGTATTTGTAAAGTATTAATAGATAGAAAAGGGGAGAAGAAAGCTCTTGTTTTTCTCATGTATGTAGTTGTTTCTAAAAAGGGACATAATTGTATTTACTATTATGAAAGACTTATGGTGATCCGTAAATGTAAGTAAATGTTCTTAACTAGCAGTTATTCAAAACGAGCAAACACTTGGTGATTAGATTATTCTAGCATTAAACATTTTCCGAAGGACATCATAATAAATCACTAGGAAATCGAATCCAGGACCTTTATGTTGGTCTGAATAAACCACCATCCTATTATTAACGTTTTTCATATTTTTCTATATCTCATTACTCATAAATTTTTGTTTAAAAGATGCATTAATTATACCATATTCTGTGAATAAATACTTTTCTCAATCTTATTGTAATAATTGCAGATTATGGGATTTTAGCTTCAAGTATGTTGAAATGTATATCTATCTATCTATCTATCTATCTATCTATCTATCTATCTATCTATCTATCTATCTATCTATCTATCTATCTATCTATCTATCTATCAGATATTTGTTATTTTATACACGCTTCTAAAACAAAATTTTAAATAAAATTATTTACACATAAATATAGAAATGGAAAATATATTTTTTTTTGTTTCTTGTTAACATAGAAAAATGTAATTATATTCTACTGTAAATTTGTTCACCATTTTCAAAATTGTTTTCCAGAGGTCCTAACTACATTCGTAATCCATATTATTATTATTATTATCATTACTGTTAGAAGAAATATTCATTTTTGTAAAGAAGGTAAATAAACAAACAAGAAAAATAATTTTTTTATTTTATTATTTGTTTGTTGCTTCCATTAAGAAATAAACAAAACAAAAATAAAGAAACAAACTAGTAAACAAACCGACATCAAATGACCAGTAGGATGAAAAATATTCAGTAATTTAAATAATCAAGTCAAATGAAAATGGCAAAATAGGGAATAATTGTCTACTTGTGTGTGTTAAAATAAACAGATATTGATTTACTACCACAGATATAATAATTATTATTATTATCCCGATGTTGAGAAAATAGAGAGAAAATTTTATACGCTTGTGTGTCATATTTAACTGTGAGTGTAAACAATTCTAATGGTAAATACTCAACTTTAAATCATACTTATTAATTCTTTTGTCTCTGATGTAATCATAGCAGCTAGCCACTAAAGCATGAGTGGTAAAAATGTTGTCATCCAGTTAGAAAAATGTTATTGGTAAGTCAAAAAACTGTCACGCTATCGTATTATATTTGACCTTTGTGGAATATTTTGAGAGTTTACATTGGTTATACAATCGTTTATTATATTACTGAAATCTTGAACCAATCTGAGTTAGATAAGCATTGAAAATCTGTATGTACTGAATGGCCATTTCCTCCTAATATGGGACTACTCAGTATTCACAATTGATTGATCACTGGGTGGCGATCAATGTCATGCGTGTCTAGTCCTTATTATAGCCAAGTAGCACGAAATCCGGGTCCAGGATTTCCTGTCGACTACCTCCAACCACCATATACTCCTCAGCATTGCATATCTACGATCCTGAATGCGGAAATTGAATCTTCTGTTTTGGATTTGAGCCTTATCGAGTGTGAGGCAGTTATTCAACAAAGTCAATGAAAATGATCGAACAGTGTAGTGAATTGATTGAAATTAGACTAACACCGTTGGATGCCGGCTCAGTTGTTTATGGGTTGTTCATGCGTAAGGCCGAAGGTGCTGGATTAGATTTTCGTGTCGGGGTCGTGTCTGCATACTCACGAGAAGCTCTACACTGGGACAAAACAGCCGTTCGGTGTCTCTAGGTTTTCAATGGTGCTTTAATTCAAATTGGTTCGTGATTTCAATGAAATTCAACAAGATCCACAACCCTATACTTACATTTATAATACATTTAATTAGTCTTTCAAACTATGAGAACTCACTACCAATTACAATGGATGATATGTAAGTACTAAAGCATACCTATATACCAAAGTCTATGATTATATTCCTTTGTAGAATGTTTAGATTATGGCTCACCGCCCATTTGATTTATGAAATCCAGGTAGGAAACTTTTTCCACTTATGATGATATTTTAGTTTCTCTCCGCCATTTAATCAATTACAAACAGACAAGGAAATTTAATATATTTATATTTAACGTGATTTTACAGCATTCGAATTAAAATGGTTTGTTGTCAGTTGGAAGGAACTTAATTTGCTTTTAAATTATTCCATATTCATACGGTTCAAATGCCGCGAATCTCATAAAAAAATTTATGAACTTGAAATGTATCAGTGCGGCTAAATAATCAATACATCAGAAGAACTCACATACATCCAGGATTATTATAAATTGATGAATGTAATCTGTCGATAGTGTAATAGAAAATGAATGAATAATTAAGAATAATGAAAAATCTGACCAAACGTAACTATTCGAAGTAAATTTTATTTGTTAGCAAGACTAACGTTTCTTTATTGTTACAATTTAGACATTTTGGCATTTTCAATATTCTTGTTTTACAATAGTGAATGTCAAGAATGTAATCGAGAGAGAGAGAGAGAGAGGGACAATAAAATCATCACTGTGATAGAAAGCATACTGATTGGAATGTTGTATATGTCGGCAAGACAATCGGACAATTGGATTTGAGAGTGAGAGGATGAAAATGAAATTCGAAACAATAATTTATCCTATTTAATAAATTTTTGATCAGAATAGGGGTTTATGGATATTGCAGTAATTTTAAAAATTAAATTCATGAATCGATGTAAGCTGAACCACCATTGAAAATCTGGAAGCACTGGACGACCTTTTTGTCTTAGTATGGGACTCTTAAGAGGGGCGCATCCACCATTCCGCACGTGGGACACAAACTCAGGAACTTCGGTCCTGTTCGCGGATGCTTAATCTGTAGATCACTAAGCTGAACGGAATCTAGTGGTGTTAATATCTAACTTCAGTCGATCCATGACCTTGCGTAACCATTCATTTATTGTCTGAGGTAGATAACTGTCTCTACACGACACGGACTGTAATCCATTGATTATGGCTTCTTATCCAGGAAATCTAGTCATTAGTAAAAGTCTCACATGCGGAATCGTGGATGCTCACTGATGAAGATTCCCGTACTAAGACGAAACGGTCATCCAGTGCTTCCAGGTTTACATCAATTCATGAATTCGACTATTTTTATGACCTACAATTAGATATCCATACTAATAATCTAAAAATATGACCAAGTTTGAAGGAATACATCGTTTAAAATTACAGAATGCCAACTTAAGATTGTTTTTAAAATAAAACTGTCAATAAGCGAAGATGGATAGTGGTTCTCAGTGGAATCCAGGACGCTCATCTTGTCCTATTTGGCAGCCGTCACCTGGATGTACCTGCATTTCAGAGTTGATGTTTATTCCGGGATTCCAACCCATTACTGTTGGCTTCAAACGCCATCGCGTTACCCACTTAACCACCGAATCCTGATATCCACTTGCTTGTGCAATGAAATGAAGTTTAAATTCACTTGGTTTTTCCCATTGATATTTAGGACTGCAATTGATCAGTCATTTATTGGCATATGTGCATACTGTGCTCAGTGCCTCGATATAGCCTTAATTCACAAGAATTATTTAGTAAAAATACCTAAATTAACTAGATAATAGGAAAGAGTTTGCTTAGATTCAGTCAGTATGTACTATTCTACGTGTGAATCATAAAATGCCTACAAAAATCTAAAGATTATGATTTGTAGCTTAGGTTCGTTAGTAACCATGTTTAACTCTACAGAGGAGAAGTAGAACATTATAAATATATATGCATATCAAAAAACTAATTTTAATTTCATATAAACAAATATATCACTTATAACTTCCAGCATGCTATAACTTTGTTTAGATTGATTAATCTCTTTTTGTCATGAAATTATATTCTACTAATATTCCTTAAAATAAAACATAAACAGTTCTGTTAGAAGATAACAGTTAACTACATCAAGTTATTTTATTCAAAATGAAAAGAGATGAATATAGGCGACATTTTGAATAAATGAGGATACAATAACATTTAAAACTGTTCACTCGTAAGCATTCACTTCCCTGTCATGATCTATCTAGTTATACAGCTTATCGAATTATTCAGTTATGTGATATTCATGAATAACAATATATAAATTTATATTAACCTGACTACTTATTCTCATTATAGAAAAGATACTTATCAAATACTTTTATCAAGATTTCATTTTTTTTTTTGACTTGGGAAATTCTTTCAAATACTAATTACAAAATGTATTATGGTAACTGGATTCTTGATAATGTTACATAGTCTATTTTGATTGGTTAATAAATTAACCAATAAGATGACTCGAAAAAATTATGATTATATTATCAATTTTTTATCGTTAACATTTAATGCCTTATTCATATTTACTGATTATTTACAAATGTATTAGTAGTAAGTTTCAATTAGATTAAAACATACATATACATATATAGAGATCTATAACACAACATCATGCTTGATGGAACTTTATGGATAGAATACAATAGTACATGTAGTGGAAATATAAGTACTACTGGTATTATAAAACTGGAATATTCTTTACCAATATTAATACTTAGCATAATTGCTTTAATATTAAATGGATTATGTATTTCAATATTTTCAAGACAACACAGAAAATCAGTTATGAGAACAAGTTTACTTGTTTTGTCAGCTACTGAAGTACTGTTTCATTTTTTTGTTTGTATAGAATATACTACACAACTTATATGTTCATCAAATCCCCGAATGATAAGTCCTACAGAATTTATATTATTTGCTCTTATTAATTGGGGTTCTGATTGTTCTTTATGCACACGTAATTGGTGTAATGTATTAATTACTTCAGCTCGTACAGAGGTAGTTGTTTATCCAATGCGTAAACGACGTATACTTTCACATTCTTCAATAAAATTTATTTATGGATTTTTATGGATTCTATCTGGATTTCTTGCTATTGTACGTGCATTTTATGATTATGCAATTGTCTGTAATTCATCAAATAATCAAATGAATGATTTAATTATACAATCAAGTGAAACATCACTATTAAATACAAATAAATTAGATTTATCCAATGATTTTAATCAAAAAACAAATCCTGTAACATATATTGATGCTTTATTAGCTCAATATATCATTATTAATTATGAAGCATATTGTTTTTTCATATTTCAAGTTATTGCACCAACATTAATTGTTTTAATCATGTCATTTATTATATCATTTTATGTTTCACCATGGCGTGATACTAAAATTATTGAAGTAACCAATGTACGTCGAAGACATCAAATGAAAGCCACAAGAACTATATTATTTTAGCTATTTCATTTCTGTGCTTTCAAACACCTAGTTTTATTTTAGTTATTGTACAACATTATACTAATTTAAAAATTGAATTTCAATTAGCTAAATTAGTTGCTGATCTATTATTAACATTTGATTCTATTATTAATATAATGATTTATGCAATCGGTTTACCAAGTTTTCGTGATTATTTAAATCGAATGTTTATTTGTTTATGTCCTTGGAATAATATTATTAATAATAATATTGGTAACAATAATAATAATAACAATAGTAATCGTATTCTGTTAAATTCAGTTGCTATGCCTCAATCAGAATTTCATCCAATCTCATATCATAATAATAATTCAAAAATTACACAATTAAAAGCAACACATTCATTTAATTGGAATAATTATCGTCATGGTATTTATGGTTCACATAGAGATAATTCTTTTCAACATAAAGATAATAAATCACATTGTCATTATCATTCATTACATGATAAGAAACAATGTCAATATACCAATAATAATAATAATACTATAGATTCTATTGAAAATTCACAATGTAAAAATACAAATGAAGATTCATTGAGTATTAGAGAAAGAGAAATATGTGATGATATGTGACTAATGAAAAATAACTTTTAAAAAAAAACAGAAGTTAAGATTCTTATTTAGGAATATATTCATATATTATTATTATTGGGTTTGTAAACGAATGTATATTTATTACTATAATTCATAGAATAATTAATCATACTTATGTAAATGTTACCGGCATTTGGTTTATGATCATTATTATGTTTTATTTTAAATTCATGAAGAAGAATATAAAACAAAAAAAATTCTAGATTAATAGTTCGTTTTATATATTCAAATGATAGAATAACTCCATTTAGTATAAGAGAAACTTATTGAAATAAATGAGTTCTATGACATTAGAACTGGTTGAAGTAGACTAAGTCATATTGAGATCAATGAACCTGCATCTCATATAACTACTTATCAATCTAATGATGATTAAAGAACTGAGAACTATGCGGAATCAGTAAATCAATCACTTCTTCATACATTTATTTGGATGCGCACTGCTGAGGAGCCCTACAATAGGACGAAACGGTCATCCAGCGCTTCCAGGTTTTTCATTGTGGTTTAGCTTCAACTGACCCATGATCTTAACCATTGAAATTATTATAATATCCACAAAACCCATCTGATATTAAAATAATTTATAATCAACTTTCAATTTCACTTTTTACTCATTCTGAAAATTGAATTTTATTGGCTTGGATTATACTGGACATCTCTTTTGATGGTTTGATTGATAGTAAATCGATTGAAGACTGAAGAGAGTTTACAGTGATGTTCGTAGTTGTTTTCTGTATTTTGGTTTCAAGCTATCCTATTTTATAACTATATTGTGTTTACTTAATTATTCAGTACAAAATGGATATGCAACCAACCTGTCAATAAATATGTGGATAACAAGGCTATCAAGTATATTAAATCAAGTAATGAGATAAAAAATGCTCTAAACAAAAAAATGTTAGTCTCGAGTAAGGGGCGTCACCTTGTTTACGCAATTACATCCACAGTAGTTTATAACTTTCATCAGTATTCTTTGTGGAATGTTTATGTGTTAAGTAGCGGCTGTAATATAGTTTCTTCTACTAGTAAGATATGATGATCACAAGTTTTTTATAGAAAAATGATTAAATGTTTGAATTATGGAAATATAAGAAGTGTGCATCACCTATGTATGTGCATTAAACCTCGGATAAATGTGTTTCACTATTTTTGTATGTGAACATTCGGTATATATAACTATTTTATTTCGTTTTTAAAAAAATATTGCTGAAATGGTTTATTTACACAGAAATTGAGATTCACTGTGGACAAGGATAACATTTATCATATAATGCTGAACACTGAAAACCTTTCATCTTTATTACAGTTAAGTGATTGAAGGAAACTATTTATTGAATCCCAATATCATGAAAATAAATATGTAAAATAGATAAATAGTAACCCACTCTATTTAATCATATACTGCACATTCTATACACTAATAACAGTAATGTAAGAGAATAATATCATTTCTGAAGTATGGAAGATTGGCGCCAGACATAGATTAAGTCTAATTAAAACAAGAACCATTATTTCAATTATCATTTGTGACATTTATGCCCAAATTGATTTGTGCTTTTTCTTCTGTATTGTTAATTATTTATTTATTTTATTTTAACACATAGATATTGATACAAGGAGGCAACAAATACGTATGCACCACACAAATCTCATTCGATATGTGTGAGGGATGTGATACTGCCCGGGTGCCCAAACCGAAACAGGTGGTTTTCTTCTACCTGAAGGTATGATCCACAAGGCAGTGGAGCATCGTAAGGAGATGCAGTCCCATGGAAGCCGGTGACCAACGACTGGTTCATACGCCATTTGCTCCTTTCGGATACTGGATCCCATGTGCACCATTGATTTGGTTTGGGATCCGGTTAAAGCGCCGGACATTCGCTTTTCGTCCTCTCAATTTCGTAAACAACACCCCCACCACGAGAAGGCAGTGAGTAGGACTTCCCTGGCAGAGGCTATATACGCGTGGCCATGTGAGAGCATTTCGAGAGGGAGAGGGGACTCTCTCCACTCTAGGCCATACCAGGGAATTTGGGGGCGTATTGTTAATATAATTGCTTCATTTAGTACAAAAAATATCTAACTACTTTGATAGCGGATTTTATTTTATATTTTATGTTGATATAGGTCTTAACACTTCATCGAAAAATAACTGATTGTTACATATTATCTCAATCCTGCCAAAGTTCACTCAATATCCTTAACTTGTACGGGTGTTTATCACAGTTTATAAAGCTTTAAAATATCGCTTTATAACAGCTCATCCTATGAATAGTTATGCATTGAAATCGTTTCCAGTTATTTCGTCAATGTATAACTCATATATATTAATATGGAAGGGCGATTACAGTAGCGTTAGGTAAACAAATTGTTACTTTTTATGATTGAAAGAAGTTTTTTAAACGTGAAAAACCAATCCGTCCTGTAGTATAATCACTGTAACACTATTCTGACAATGTTAAAACTAGCATGATACAATAGGATAATGTTAATTGATAAATGTAATTATTGGAAATCGAAATTGTAGAACGTTGGTGCCAAAGAAAAATATGATTAGTATGTATCAAAATGATGACAAAATGAACTTGATGATTTATTCGGTAATATATAACGCTGATTTGAATTTGTAACCTTTTTTAGTAATTATAATGTAAAAGGAAATTCAAAATACAATAAAGAAAAAAGAGAAAAAGAAAACAATCAAATTAATGACTGTTTTTATGTGATGATTCATGATACTGAGAAATGCTCTCGAATATACCGAAGGATGAAACATAGTTTGATCAAATGTAAACATGCGTAATTATTTATTTAACTATTAATTATAACATATTCGAATGCGAAAATATTGTTGCCATAGTGATAATTTTATGATTATACACAGTAGAATGGCTTGACAATAAACGTTTTTTTGAAAAAAAATAAGTCGAGAATGACCAGATTTACAGAATACAGTGAATCTATTGCATTTCTTTGACTCTTCTTAACATATATATATATATATAACTATTACCAATTGTTAACATAACGTTAGAAACGAATTGCCAATCTATAATGAATAAGTTTTGTATAATGTGAAAGAAATGATGAATTAAAGTTTTGAAAGGGGGATTCTTTTATAGTCACTTACAAAATACCACAGATTGAAATCATGAGTCAATCGAAGTTAAACCACCATGGAAAACCTGGAAGCACTGGGTGGCCAACTCGTCCTAGTATGAGACTCCTCAGCGGTGCACATCCACGATCCCGCACCCCGCGAGATTCGAATCCAGGACCTATCAGTCTCGCGCCAGGCGCTTAACCAACTAGACCACTGAGCTGGCCGGCATCCAACGGTGTTTATGTCTAACTTCAACCAGTCCACGAAGTTGCGCCACCGTACACTATTGTCAAAATCATTTTATTACGTAATATAACAACATTTCAAGAGTAAAAGTGGACCTGTGACTTAAGCTCACTAAATTTGTGATTAAAATCGGTTAGAAGAAGTCAGAGTATTTTAAGGGATGTTGAAGATTGACTACTAATTGTTTTTGAATGAACAGGTCAAATTAAAACCTTTTAATTGATATGACTTCCGTGAATCCTAATAATGTAGGAAAGAAGTGTTTATTGATAACTTTGAACTAATTCATTAAATCCACATTATGTGAAGTGTATAGTAAGTGGCGTGGTGCTGAATTACATAAGCAGATTTCTCTTCGTATGTGTAAGCTTTTTGGTAAATGCTCATTCACAACAAGTAGAAGACCAACTTTATTTCTTTTTAATATACATGCTTTGGTTGTATATGTTAATTGATAAATTCAGCTGAACGTGAAGTATGACCAATATTTATTTAATTTAGCTTGTATTATTCAGCGTTAAATGGTGTATAGTGGAATCAACTTCGAGGAACAAATGTGCCTTTTAAACTTTCTTTCAGTCCTCAATTACTTTTATTCATTACTTGATCACCTTTGAATGACAATCGAATAAAAACATTTTGTATTTTTGTTTTGTATTTGTTCATCTTACTTCAGTAAAATACATCTTTAAAATTGATTAAAGTTATTCATTTTCCTGCAATAATTATTCTGCACAGTATATTCCTTCTCGAGGCTCTCTGTGGTAGAGCATTTTCACCAATCCATACGTATAACCTGCATGACAAGAAAATGTGAAATTTCAAGTGTCGATGAAGTGGATGACATCGTTTTTTTAATGTTTCATTTTGAAGTTAACATTCGGATGGACTTTTTTGGAAAGTGATTCTTTCATCAAACTATTTGTTAGTTATTACTTCAACTTGGTAATTTGCTTAATTAAAACGTTACGAAATACTTTAAGGCTAATTCAAATGTTTATTTCTAAGATATTATACTATAAAACTTTCACTCCTAAAAATAGAAAACTATGCATTTAAAAAAAAAGTTGATTAATAAGCAAATTAAATGACAGGATATAGTTGTTCTTGTGAACAACTATATTTTCTCCGTGAGTGTCTTCGCCAGCATGTTCTACCGACAGGATATAGTTTTGAGTTTTAGTTTGTGATTTTATGTCATGGAAACAGTACTTATTAACAAATAACTTGCTTTTAAATCCCTTGAATTTTAGAAACATTTATATTTTGTTACTATAGTGTTATTTTGCATAATATTTAATGGTTAACTTTATTGATTGTTAACTCATTGATAGTACAACTGATAGTTGATACAAACTAACCTACGACATAGCTTCACACAACAATAAGCAAATTTGGATTTATCAGTTGACCAAACGGAAAACGTTTCTGTTGAGTCCAGGAACTGATTCAAGTTAGATAAAAACTGACAAGTTGGAAAAACTAGACAGACATTTTGTTCTGGTGTGAGACTTCTTAACAGTGTACATTCACAACCCTTTCATCTGAGATCTAACTCACGACTTTCAGTCTCGAGTTTGTATGACTAAATTCTAGATCTTGGTAATATTTAATAATCTACACAAGTCCA